ACATCAGCAAACGTGCAGCCACCAGAGCAGCATGAGATGGCGCCAGTGATTTTGAGCGAAGAACGATATTTGAAGCCGGATCCGACAGCCTCCCTTGCCAAAGTCTCGGCAGATGAAGGCTCAGCCTTGTTGAAGCTCAACACAGAGGGTTTGCAGGAGTTCTTCAACCGTAAAGCATGCAAAGCAATTGGTGAGGTGCCGCGCGGGTTCCGCTCGGGCTCAAGTTCTACTTAATAAAGAGTCGCACACCGGTGATGCCAGAAGTAGGTTTGTTGTTTTATGTATGTCTATCTATTCCATGTTTTGTGCGCAAGACCTCCAATTTATAGAAGTGGCACAGTATTTTTTCTGTACTCAGACCCCGCTGGCCCCCAGCTGTTGATGTTGTTGCTGTTGCGCACACGTGCGTGCACGCGGGATGGTACTCCAAAGCATCACCAGTCTTTCACTATCATTATGTTTACAATCCCCAAATTCATCGAATAGGCGGCGAGACAGCACATAAGAGAAGTGGAAAGCTTCGGACCCCTCTAGCCTTGCTCGCTCACTTGTGCCGGTGAGCCCCTCTTGCGATCTCCGTGAAAAGGCTCCGAAACAGGATTACACCATCTAGCTCAGTGCAAAAACCACCAAACATGCACGACTAGTGGTCCAAAAAAACATCTGAACCTCCAGCAAGGGGCCTTGCCCACAGGAGGAATGGAAGGCTGTATAGGCGCCGTCTGCACCGTTGGACCCCTCTTCGACAAACTCCTCACAGTGTTTTGCAATCTAGTTCAACGTGACAAAGCCACTAGGATCACTAGGTCACGAGGAGGGGCACAGCACATCTAGTTCTTTGTCCAAAAGAGGCCAAAAAGTCTGCCCAAGAAGCAGCGGGGCTTGAGGCGGAAGGTGCCTCTCAGAAGGGCCTAACGAAACGTTTGAACTTCCAATAAGGAAAGGCTCTGAAACGGGATGACCCAGCAATGCAAGAAACCACGCAAAGCACACGGAGAGGCAGGCAGCCCTAGCACATCTAGCTCTGCGTCGAAAAGACGCAAGAGAGTCTGCCCAAGGGGCTAACCAATGAAACCATGCCTGTAAGAGCCTCTCGAACCATCGACCCAGCGGGAGTCAGTTGGGCCACGTGCTTGAGGGCTTGTCAAACAACCCATAAAGGCGTGCAAGCCCAGTGGGGCCGACCTTGCTGGAAAGGCACTGAAACGGAACTGTGCCATCCACTTCAATGCAAACATGCACAAATATGGAACGTTTGAACCTCCAACAAAGCGCCTTGCCCACAGAAGGAATAGAAGGCGGTAGAGGCGTCTCCGCCAATAGGGTGACCAACCCATTACTGTATATACCTTTTCGCCACACCCTTAGCTCACCTGGTTCTTCATACTTCTGGACATCCTCGCGACAGGCCGCGACACAGTCCGGCACATCACATGAAATCGTGTGTATTCTTACACGCTCCCCCCACAACCGGCAGGGGTTGGCAGATTCTCATGTGTGAGCTTCTAGGTATGGAAGCACTTCCGGACTACATATTACAACTAGAAGTTGCCCAGCCCCCAGAATACTATAGAATACTGCTTCAATTTCTTTGCCGCCTTTCTGACATTTGGTTGACGTCATTGCTGTTACTAGGAATTGTTGTTTGCCATCGCCTGGTTGGAATTTGATGTTCGTGATTTCAAGCTCCGTCCTTCAAACCAAGTTTGCGCATTTTGTAGTTTTTTTGCAAGTGCTTGACATGTGGGTTCTGGTCCATTCCCTTCGCTGCCTTAGTGGATTCAGTATGTAAGGTGCTGGCCAAAGAAAAGATCAATGGGACAACCTTGGCGCAGTTGACAAATAAACACATCGAAGACTTGGCTTTGTCCTTGGGCGACAAGTTGTCCCTGCATGGTTTCATGAACCGTTTCCGTTCAAGTGCCCGGGCAGCCAAGCGAAGCGAGTCTCTTTGGGAGGCCGAAGAGTTTCCCTACGAATACCAGCTGGTGTCTGGAGCCGGGACTTGCTGTCCCAAGCCGGAGAAGCCGATCCTCTATCATCGCCTCCCAAGGCCAACTACAAAGTCACGAACACCGTTCTGAAAGTGGTTGGGTATCAATGGGTGGATGGAACGGGGGATTCAGCTCGGCCTTTCGAATATGACCAGCAAGTTACTTGCTGTTGCCACACTTGGATCAAGCGCCCCGACTTTGAGTTCGAAGAGTCCACGGACAACATTGACCTGAGTTGCATCTCTGATATTGATGTGGTGGTTTCGAGCAACTTTCAACCGGAGACGTACACCCCAACTCCGCAGGACAAGCAGAATGGCTACTGCAAGGAGCTTCTCGTCGCAAAGCCAGGCTTGGTCATCGTGACTTACACATCCCCCACCATGGGTATTACGAAGAAGGTGTTAGGCGTTGATCCCGCTACGGCACAGAAAGTGGCAGACATCATCATCCATGCAAAGGAGGAGACCCAAGCAGAAGATTCAGGTTCTGGCAAGATTGATTGAGCGCAAGCAGGGGCTTTTGGGCGCGCCGGAATCTCATTTGGTGCGCTCAAGATCTGGGCCAAGTGGAGATGAAACCGGATGACAATTTTATGCGACAATTCTTGCAGATCTCAGGCAACGCTGTTTGAGTTTCAGATTCATAGGGACCACATAGAGCAACTGGTGTTTGAACAAAAATGACATCCACATGAGCCCTGGAGGGCTGAAATTCTATAGCGTACGTTGTTGAGATATCAAACAAGGGGTGATGAGGTGATTCCTGTACCGGCCCAAACGCGCATCAGTCAGATAGACGTCCCAAAAGAGCAAAGTCGCCCTGCGAAAGTCGCATTGGGGTGGGTTGTTTCCCCAAGCAAGCCGCCACGCCGCCATGGCCATTGCTAGGCTTGCTAATGGCAGTTTTAGTCATTGCAGATTGACCCAGGTCTTGAATGCTGCGTAGCACCATTGCCCTCGCGGTCCTTTGTGGCCCTGACTGGACCAGCGGAAATTACTGGCCCTGCAGGTAATCTTTTCGCTGCAGGTTGAGAAGCGAGACTCTCCCATAAGGACCGGAACAGCGGAACCCTTCCTGCTGCAGGTCGACAACTTGACTGCTGTTGATATCCAGGAGCAAAATGAGTTTTTGCAGGCTTTGAAAGGCGTTGAAAGGCTTTCACGAGTTTGCAGGGAATGGCATTGATTTGGCAAGTTTGCTGGCGAGGCCTTATCGACTCAGTCCCTTCAGCCTGCCGAAAGGCAGAGCCTGGCCAAATGCCACTTGGCACCGAGTTGCCAGCCGAGTAGGTTCTGCTGGACTAGGCTGCTGAACAGGCAAAGATGCCAAAGCTTTATAAAGAATCTCAGATTCTCACAAGGAGGGTGCCCTGTTTCTGTCCTTTTGCCTTCTGCTAGGGGTTTAGCGGTTCGGAGACGGCCAGCTGGGAGGAGTTCAGATGGGCTCAGGTCGCCATTCTCACCCCCGCTATAGCCGTACTTTGAAAGGCGTGTGCCGGGCGCATGGGCTGGGGGTTGAGGAAGACCTTTCGACGGAGCATTGCATACAGATTCTCTCACTTGAAGTGCAAGCACCAATTTTGAGGGTTGGATGCTGGCTGAGTCAGGTGGTGGAGGAATGGCAGAGATTCTTTACCCTTTTGTCGGAGTCACAAGTGCGTTCCGTGTGCGACACCAACCTCAGGAAGTCACTCACCACAGGAACTAGGACCACCAGAATGTGTTGAGCATAGAGAAGTTCCCATTGGTCACAAACCTGGTTTTCCGAATCAAATATATGTTAACACGGTGTTTCAATGCAACGTCACACGAGTGATGCTGATTCGTTCAACATCCCTCAACGATAAGATTGGTGGCTTGATGAGATTTTTTGTCCATGCACGTGCTGACATTTTCAATCTTCGAACTGTTGAACAGGGAATAGTAACATATAGTGACATACAGTAACTGAATGTATAATATATTCGTATTAATAATTAGGTACAAGGATCCCGGATCTGTCGGAAGCTTTGTTTTCGAGTGCCCAGCACAGCATCAGGTGGCAGTAAACGTCAGCCCATGCACGCCATCTGCAGTGCTGGAGGCGCCCTGAAAGGGCGCCCTCGGCCGGGTGGCGTTGGGGAAGGAGGGTGGGGCTTTTCGCAGGAATGTGCTCAGGGTTTCGCCTGCTCTCAACGCTTTGGGCTTTCCAAGCGTTCCAACGTGTCGTGTGAAGATGCCTTGGCCCAGCTTGCCCCTTCTAATTGTGGAACACAGGTTGAGTGGATTGAACGAAGTGTTGAAGACATGTTCTGTTCAAAGGCACTGGCACAGCTTTGAGAGCATCCAAATCTGGGACATGCCTGTGGAGAGTCCTCCTACCCTGACCACCCAGCGGCAGAAGATCTCCCCCTGAAGAAGCTGATGCACCCAGGCCTTTCTCTTAGGCCAAAAAGCCGTCGTTTTTCCCCGGCCTCCGGCAGATTGGACAGGATGACAGTAGCAAAGGCTTGACGGACTTGTCAGGATGACTATGAATTTTCGACACAACACCGTTGAACAAAGTCGATTCAGCTGGATGCACGGGAGTTTTAGGAAAATGCGCGTTGTAGGATTGGTTTCAGCAGGTCGCAGGCAAGAGCAACAAAGGCTTGGAGTAGAGACAGAGCAACTTCTGGATAGTTTCCCACAGCAGAGTTTGACCATCGGTTTGCCGTGATTTGCCACGAGAAAATATTGGAAAGAGCTGGTCATTCACATACCATTCGGCCACGCCGTTCTGGGGGAACAACAAAAATGGACCGGATCTCAAACACAGGAGCGATCGGACGCTACTAGGGGCTCCTGGCATCGCTACTATTAGAATAATGTTGAGCATAGATTCTGAACAGCCTGATGCGCACCTGTGAAGCAACCAACTGGTCTGTGGCATCACAAGCCCAAGACACCAACCCGCCAGAGAGGTTGACATGCTCAGTTGCGGTGTGACACACAGGACACTCAACGCACAATTCAGAACGGAGGTGACACACCTTCCTTATCCTTCTTCATAATCTCTTGCTTTGGAATGCATCAAAAACCATGCTTTTCATGTGCTAACAAGGGTATCCTCCGACCCAACAGATCCCGGTTTTAGAAAACCCTACCGCCATGGGACCATGGGACTTCTTGTTAGCTTTATTGTAGGTATGTTGAGATTGACAGAAGAGTTTCAGCTGCCACTCTCAGCTGCGCATGTCAATCCTTTTTTGTCGATCATGTCCCAGCTGGGTCGTGGTGGGCAGTCAATGTAGATCGATCTGTGCTTTGTGCTCTTTCTTATTCTTTCTTATGTTTGTATACGGCATACACTATGAACATGGCATCACCTGGGTGTTCCCCGCAGTGTTGCTTCCTTGTGAGAGTCAATGGATTGCCTTCGGGCGAAATCTGGAGAAACCCCCCAGAGGGGGCAAGTTCAGATGAGTTTTGCGTGGAAGTCAATCAATGCCTGTGGCCCAAATCGGGGCCTCAAGAAGGGATACTGTACAGTGCAATGAAGACAGGTCTCTACCCATATGTTTAGTGGTTCGTTCACGTTCTTATGATATGGGAAACCTTTTGCAGTGCACGCCCTGTTTGTCGTATTTTGTTGGTTCTGATTCGCCTGGCAAACATCATACAGGCAGAAGGTGGTATGGGGCTGCCCAGCAGGTTGCTGCAAGTGGCAACGTTCTCTTCTTTGCAGATTCGACCTTCCATCACAGTCTGTACGGCTGCGCTCTAAGCATCCCTTTGGTATTGATCGGCTTGCTCTACAAACGAGGCTGATGCCCTATAGGCGCTGTGCGCCTGCGTGCAGTAGCGCCGATGCGTCGTTGGCAGAGAGGGCTAGGAAACTCCAACAAAGAGTGAAAGCGGCTGAAGGGTTCTGCTTGTTCTTAAAACTATGTATGATATGACTCAGATGGTTGTCTTGTCATGAATTGCTTTTTAAACCATCAAACATGATGCGCAAATGGCTCAAACAAATCCTTCACGAGTGAGTTAGTAAAGGATCTACAACGATGCCGATGTCAATCAAATGAGGATATTTCCTGCCAAGACACGTCTTTTCACTGGGCCTTAGAAGATGCGCTGAGCCGAGCAAGAGTCTTGCACAGGAAGGAGCTTGCAAACGTATGGAAAGGAACGCAAAACACTTTGGCCAGGGGTGGTGTGGCAGTTGTAAAAATAAGGAGCTGAAGGAGCCCGTTCGACTTCAAGACAAACATGCTTTTTAGTGTGTTCTATAAGCAGTGAGGTAAGTAGCATGACGCCATGCATGCAGCCATTCGTGACACTCGGTTGGTGTTCTCCGTGTTGGTGGAAAATTCATTAAACAAACAGCCTCACTAAAGCTAAGTTCATGTTGCAAGAGAAGTCTGACAGGTGCCCAGACAAGTCATTTATGACTGGAGGCCAGAAACCAATTACTTCACTGGAAGGACCAGCCAATCTACTGAGCATTCGTGCAATGGCCTGAGAGTATGACGGCCCAAAATGAAAAACCCAGTTCGTATGGTGCTGATTTTTTCAAGGACTGACATGGGTCTCAGAAGTCTTGAGAAGTCTTGAAAAGAAACAGTAGCTGAACTTTGCTATGCCTTCAATATACTTGTAGGATCGCCTCGAAACCCACCGTCATATGCAAAACAAATCCGAACAGCGTTTTCTCAGGGGGCGAACGAGGTGATTCTTCCAACCAAGGAAGCTTTAAAACTCCTCCGGACCATGTAGTTTGTAAACTAATTGCTCTTGGGTTGGAGACCATCGCTACTAGGTTGGAGGCCATTGCTAGTAGATTCTTCTGAAGCCACGGCTCTTCGCGAGTTCGTTCAGCCCGGCTCTGCGCGTTTGAACCTTCCATGCCGCGCGGCGTGGGCTTGGCGATCCGACTCCAGCGGACTCAAAGATCTGCGAATCGTGGGCTCGGCTTAGCCAAAGCACAGAAGATGACCAACCTCAACCCCCTCTTCCTCCCCTTCTTCCTCCTCTTCCTTTTCTGTTTCGATTTCTTTCTGCAGCTCATGTTTTTACTTTTCATGACGTGTCATTGACGTGCTTTGCCCGAATGTTTCGAGATCCCTCACCTCCACTTCCCACCTGCAGATTCTTGCAGTCTTCAACAAAACCCACTTACTATCATAATCACCAAAAAGGCATGTCATGCCTTCAACCTAGTTACTTGGAAGATTCGACTTCTTCCCCAAACGCCCCCATTTTTGTGAGACTGTGGTGCTTTCAACACAGGTAGACGCTTTAAAGATGGCCCTCCCAGCACAAGAGGAGAATGCAGTCCTCAGTACGTTACCTCAGTACGTTACCTCAGTACTAGAAATCGTTCGAGCCGGGCGACCGGCTCCCCGATAAGTCAGCATTGGTCTTTGGTAACCTTGAAGTGGCTGTGATTCAAACATTTGCCATACCCTAGTGGAGGACTTTGACAGGTCTTTCAATTCACATCCAAGAGGACGGTACTGAAGGACTCCACGGTCCCATGGTGA